AGCCCTTATTACTAAAAGAAAATGTAAATTAATTGCCCCAAATTTAGGCCGTTAGTTTATATTGTCCAAATTCAGCAACCTGCATAATGCAAATATATAAGATCATAGGAAAGCAGAGCTGGAAGAGACCTCATCAGCTCTTCTAGTTTAATCCTGTGCTCGAGGCAGGATTACCCGTGACTAGAATATCCCAGGCAAGTGACTGTCCAACCTACTCTTGAACATTTCCAGGGATGGATATGTCAGTTCCAATGCTTGACCACCCTTATAGCCAGAAAGGTCCTCCTAATTTCCAACCTAAATTTCCTCTGCCTGGTTGGCTTTAGAATACTCTCCCATCACAAAGCAAATAAGACATCCACCACTAAATAACAGCACAAATTAATAGCATCTTTGCTGCAGCCACAAATTCTGGGCATCTGTAGCACAACAAAGGTCATAGACATTTATTTGCTTGGCTTTTGCACAATGTCTGTTGCCACTGTAGCAATCCCCAATGCATTCTTCTGCTACCCTAGGCTTTTTCTCTCCTTCCCCATCTTTGTTGCCAACTGCATTCATTATCTGGTAGCTGCCCCTATTTGTGAAGACTGAAGTCTTTGCTGCCTTTTTTACTTCAGCCTTCTCTGTATCATCTGTAACTAGATTGCCATCTGCATTCCATAAAGGACCTATGGCTTCTCTGGTTGTCCTCTTTTGACATACTTGTAGAACCTTTTTATATTGCCTTTTATATCCCTTGCCAGCTGCATCTCAAGTTGTGCCCTGGCTTTCCTAATTTTCTTCCTGCATGCCTATGTGATGCTCTTATATTCTTCCCTAGTACTACAATCAAGTTTCCACTTTTTATAGGATTCCTTTTAGAATTTCAGCTCATTGAAGAGATTAGTAGGCACTACTAACCAGGCTGGCCTTCTGTTGCACTTCCCATTGTTCTGTCACATTGGGATAACCTGCTCCTGTGCCCTTAAAGGGGCCTCTGTAAAGTACAGCCAGCTGTCCTGGGCTCCTTTTACCCCTGATGTTTCTCCCATGGGATTCTGCCCACCAGTTCCCCAAGTTTGTTAAAATCTACTTTTCTGAAGTCCAGTGTCCTTATTCTGCAGATCTTCCCTTCCTCCCCTTAGAATCTTAGACGCTATCATTTTGTGGTCAGTGGGCAAATCTACACGTGCATTAATGCACTATCAGTACTGAGCATTAAGTTTAGTATATCTAATATGAAGTACTAACTAAATTAACAGTAGCTGGCACTACTGTGTGGTAGCAACGGCACATGGTCTTTTCAATGTCACTTAATACACAGTAGACTAAGTCTACCGCACATTAGCACAGCTTTTTTCGTGACATGCTAGTGTGCAATAGAATTAAGTCTACTGCTGTTAAGCAGCTTGTGTAGACATGCCCAGTGTCAACCAAGTTACCTTCCACCTTCACATTCTCAACTAATTCCTCCCTGTTTGTGAGCAGTGTGTGAAGAGCTCCCCCCACTAGTTGGCCTTTCTACTATCTGTATCAAAGTTATCCCCAACACACACTAAGAATTTGATAAAACTGCACTGCTGTGTTTCCCTCCCATGAGAACCTTAAAGTCCTGCAATTTGGAAGCTTCTGTCACTTGTTTAAAGGCCTCATCCACTTCCTCTTCCTGGTTTGGTGGCCTATAGCAGACACTTATCATGACATCCCACCTGCTAGTCCCCTCTCAACACAGTGGATTTTCAACAGACCTGTCTTCCACTTTGTTCTACACCTCGGAACACACAAGTGTGTATCCCCTCTCTCTCTCTCACATAGGTGATGTGTATATATATGATAACACTTCCTTTTTTCCCCCTGCCTGTTCTTCCTAAACCTGTAACTATCCATAACCATACTCCAGTCATATAAATTATACCACCATGTCTCCATAATCCCAATTTCGTCATAATTCTGCGCTTGTTCTAGGACCTCTGGTTCTTTCTATTTATTCCCCATACCTCTCACATTAGTCTAGAAACATTTCAAGTATCTAGCTGACTGTCCTATCCTCCACAGGAGAACATTGCTAAGGCTTCAGTTATTGCTTCTCCTTACTAAATTTTTGTCCAGATCTGCAGAATCTTTACTTACCTCTGGGCTTTTGTCTCAGTCCTCTGGTGGAACTACTTTAAAGCCCTCCCCCCAGGGTAGCAAGCCTTTCCTCTCAGTCAGGCAGACCCCATCTCTTTCCAGGAGTCCATCTTCGAGACACCACCCATTTGTCAAAGAAGCCAAAGCCCTGCTGGTGACACCATCTATGCAGCCACATGTTGATCTCTATGATGCATCTGCTCCTAACCAGGCCTCTTTCCACTTGACAGTAATGAGCAGCATGGATAAGCAGCATGGAATAGTAGTCATGATTTCATTTTTCAGTTCTCATACAATATAAGAATGCTGCCAGAGTTGGTCACAAAAGCCACCCGAATATAGAATTCAAACAAAAAATATTAAATGCATGTGGACTGTTTTAATTCAGTAACAACTCCATTTATTAGCTTTTATAATACCCCCCCCCAACAACAGACCTACATTTTGGACTTAAATCAACCAACGTGACTTTTAAACCTTCTGTGATAAAATAAGCAGTATATGCAAAAGTGATTTTTACCCTGTTCTCGTAAATGTCTTACAGATATTGTATACCAATATTACTTGTTCAGTCCTCACGTGTGTGCCTCCAGAGAGTGTAATAAGAAAAGGAAATTCTTAAATGCATTCCTGTTATAAAGCTAGACCATGGATAATGTTCATGTCTTACAATAGACTGGATTAGTGCTTAACTCATCAAAAATTCTATAGACATCTTTCACAAAAGCCTTCTAGACGTTATGATGGTTTTTAGAGTAAAAGGAAAGGTATGGAGGAAACTATACAACTGTTCTCTGCTCATCTTATTTGTTTCATGTTTTTCCAGGTCCCCACAATAGTTTGAACCAGATCCAATGTCCCTTTAATTACCTGGATGTTTGATCTGGTCCTCTGTTCACTGCAAGTTACTGTAAGAACTTTACTTAAGTTACATGAACCACTATTTAATCTTCTATCTTCCCCCACTAGTTGAAATACAAGTTACCAAATTAGTCTTTTACCTCTACCTGTTCTAAAAATTCATATAAAAAACTGGGACAATGCCTTTCCACTATACAAATACTTACAAAGTTGCCATGTCCATACAGCATGCTAGTTATTAACTCAATGAACTTCCCTGCACTTGTATGGGTTTTCATTCCGCTATATGGAAAGTGCTGGTAACTGTACATTTTACAAATCCAAGGGCCAATAAATCCAGCTAAAGGCTAAAAAGGGGTGAGGAGGTAAGTTTGCTAAAAAGTTATTAAGCTCTTCCTTCTTTTTCAGAATCTAGTTCCCCGTTTTAATCCATTTAAAAGTAATTTCTATTCTACTGAGAATGCAACTCTCATGAGGGCAAAGGAAAATCTATTAAAAAAGTAGGACATGCTGTACTGGCACACAAAACATTCGTCATCTAGTTGTATTAATATAAGTATTACTACTATATTAAAAGGAATATAACTGATTCCTAGAGAAAATATCACCTGGTTGATATAGACATTTCCAATTTCCATAGGTTCAACATTCACATAGAAAAAAAGCCTTTTTTTCTTAAAAAAAATGCTCAGTTTGTTAAAATAAACATGGATCTGCCTACCATACAGACAGATTACAGTATTTTCTTGCATATAACATGCCTCCAAATATAACATGCACCATATTTTTGGAAGGTCCCAAGAAGGAACAAAGACCATACCTCAGAGTATGGTAAGTGGTTGAGGTCTGGGATCTTTGGGGCTGCACACCAGGTCTGGGGGCTTTGTAAACTGCAAGCCAGGGCTGGGGGACTGCACATGGGCCAGGGGCTTGGGAGAAAGAGACTACATACCAAGCTGGGGACTCCATGCTGGCCCTGATCTCAACCCCATGTAGCTGTATTGAGCCTGCTCACCTGCTGGAAGGTGTAGGTATTTTGCAAGAAAATACGGTATAAACAATCTGCCCTGTGCAACTGTTTGTGCAACTTGACTGTTTTGTGAAATCTTTATCACAACACACTTAGGATCTTCATCAGGTGAAACTTGTTCTTGTTGCAAGTCTTAAAAGAAAAGTGGCAGTTAGTTGTGCATCTCTTCTTTTTCTGGGTGACTTTCTGAACAGAAATATCAACTCATTGTTAATAGCTACATTGTGATTCTTTTGATGAGCCTCTAAAAAGAAGGTGACCACGTGTCCCAGATTTCTAAGGCAGGTCCTGGCCGACCACTGAAAATTAAAACAAGTGTTGCAGGTGCAGAGCAGCAGTGAAATCAGAACCCCTACCAAACAGCCAAGTTGCCCTAAAATAGGTTAGCCTGATTAGTGGAATGGCCATTAGCACTAATTGATACTTCACATGTGATTGTTAACACCTTTGAAGTAAACAATGGATCATTAACAAGCCATTGACTCCCTGCAACCTGCAGAGGGATGGGTAGTGTGCCAGACTTCAGTGTCCCATATGGGCACCCTATCTAAAATATAAGACAAACTTAGCTATATTCTACTGAATCCATGCTACATGTCTAAAGGCATTTAACTAAGGAAGTATTTTAAAAGCAAATAAGCAAACAGATTTGGTCGGAAGGGACCTTGTAGATCTTCAAGTCCGACCCCTGCCTGGGCAGGAGGGAAACTGGGCTCAAGTGACCCCAGCCAGGTAGGCATCGAGCCGCTTCTTAAAGACCCACAGGGTAGGAGCCAGCACCACTTCCCTTGGAAGTTGGTTCCAGATCCTAGCCGCCCTAACTGTGAAGTAGTTCCTACGGATGTCTAATCTAAACCTACTCTCTAACAACTTATGGCCGTTATTCCTTGTTATCCCGGGGGGCGCTAGGGGAAACAAGGTCTCCCCCAGAAGAATGTAGTCTATTTGCTAGACTACATTGTTTTTGAAATACCACCAACATGCCTTTAGGTAAGGATAATTTACAAAAACATTTTTTTCTTTATTTAGAAAAGAGAATATTAAAAACCATGTATAAGCATATTTGCTCTCCTTTTAGGTTAATGAAAACGGGAAAAAATTGTGAATGCTCCCAGGGACAGGAAGAGAGATATAAAGCCAGTTTTGCACATATATACAGTTACAGATTACTTATATGATAAAGCTGTGAAAGCTTTTCTGACATTGGCAACAAATGCAGAGAAGTTGTTGGTTTCTCTCACTTTTAACTGGAGGTCTGCCATGCAGTCCAGGGGAGGAAAACAGGATACCACTAGAAGAAAATACATGTGAAAACTTTTTAATTTTAAAAGGAGGCAGCCATTCATACACTGATCCCTCAATCTCAAGATTTTTTGCCCAGAAGAAAAGTTTGACTCAATTATTTCACAATGTCTCTTTTTCAGATTCGTATAAGAATAAGTCTTAGTAACATCCTAACCATTTTCTTTACCTTTGCAAGTACAGTGTTTGTCTATTTTAAGTCTAAAACTTCCAGAGAATAACCTTTAGCAAGGAAAAAGTGGGGCCTTGTCCAAGGACACACTTTTTTCGTGCCTACTTCTTCCCCTTGTGCCACTGCTTTTGCTGCTACTTGGATTATCACAGCACTTCTTGCCTGACTCAAAACCTTCAATGTATTCCTGAGCATTTCTGCTGCTCTGCAGGTGTGTGGACTGATGTAGCTCAGCAAAAGACAGAGAGGTTGAGTAGTAGGGGAAGAGAGAAAGATTACAAGACTTTTTGGAAGAGAGCAGTTTAGACGTGAAACTGAAAATAGAAATCCCTTATTATTAAATACAGAGGGATGTGTGGCATTTTCTTGAACACTATGACAATTAACTTCAAGCAAAGTGGAGTAATCACTTTTGAGTGGAAAAAGCAGCTTCTAAACTCTGAGAAAATGCTGTTTCCTTAGCTGGGGAAACTTTAATTCACCCATCTTGTACACAGCCATTACACAGTAACATCCTCATTTTTTCTATTCAAACACTATTTGTTTAAAGTGATATTTAAGGCCAAATTAATATATGCCAGCAGATTTGCACAAAAGGCAAGACAGAACTTGGCCCTTATTCTCTGCTTTTTAATAAAAATGTACTCTTAGGAAACTAGCAAGTCTAGGGTTTATGCATGTTGTGTGGAAGGCAGCGCCAAGGGAAAATTCTAATTTGTAACTATTTGTTATTAATCCTGGCTACATCTTTCTGTGTTTTGCCATCCTATGGAAAGTTGAAAAGGGAAAATAAGTAGGCTTAGAGCACTATTTAGGTCGTCTCCAAGCACTGGTAAAGATTTGTACCTTTACATTCATGAGCAAAACTTCTGTGTGTGTTGGGTTTTATACTCTGTAAGGCTGGGGACAGACAGTAGCTAGGACTGAAAAATGCATCCAGACTGTGCCTCAGAGCTTTCCTTCACCTGTCTCATTGGCCAGTAAGTTAGGCTGAATAAAAGAGCCATCTTTTCTGTCTCTCATGGACACATACAGGTGATGGTGGTATAGAAAGCCTGAGGGTACAAAGACACTTAATCCTCCATCAACTACCACAACCTATGCATACAGGGTAAGCAGCAACAACTGCTTAAAAGCTAGATGTCAGAATTATTCTTTAAGGAGAAGAAGATAAAAGACTAATTCTCAAGGACTTTTGGGTAGGGAAGGAAAGAAGCAGCAATGAACTCTTAATGAAGACAGTTGGGTTGGGCGATCTCAGAAAAGGCTTGAATTTTCAGCAGGGGGAGGGGAAAGAAAACTTCCAGTAAAATAAAGGAAATGAAGGGACAAGAAAGGTACTTTTTGGGTGTAATCTGTAGGCCTAGTCAGAAGTTTTTTAACTCATTTAAACGTGCTAGAGTGTAAGCATACAGATGTCCAAGTATATTTCACAACAAGTTTCATATGAGAAGCAAAGTGATTTAAAAAGCAAACAAAATGATTAGCTGAAATCAACACATACCTTCATATTCTCCCTGCTCATTTACAGAAAGAGTGAATATGAAAGGCTTGTCAGGATCTTTGTGGTCAATGCATCTGAATATGAACTGCAATTGTTCACCTAAAAGCAAAAACAGAAAAAGATTTCTGCCAAACCATTACCTTGCCTTATCAGACTAAGTGATGGTCAATTGAGTAAGCTGTGGTTCAGAGTCAGTAATTAAAATGTATTTTTGAAAATAGTGACACGTTTAGTGAATCTGACCACATCTCTCTCATTTTTTAAAACAGAAAATAAAATTTGGAGCCTGAAGTACTTGCATGCCCCTCTACCTATTTGACAGTTAAGTACAGCTTGAGTGAGACCACAAAATAAAACTACTGTTGTATTAGTATAAATCCATTTTAATTTATATGATCTAAATTATTTATTTCTACCAATCTTTAAAGATTTTAGTCAGTAAATACTATTTTGTCGGAAAGTTTTATAGCTGTTTATCTTATTGCACCTTTGTGGCCAGAAGCAGTAAGACTTTATGGCAGGGAGATAAAATCTGTCATTTGCAATATACAGTGGCAACACACTTCTTTCACACTGAATATGATTGAGCAAAACACATACAGAATCATGTCAATATACTACAGCAAAGAGTTTAACGATATATACATACACAAGATGCAACTTTTTAATAAACCATCTTTCTGTCTACTGATGAGAATGATGGTGTCTAACTTGTCAGGGAAATTGACCTGACCAAATGTGGTCCAAAGGGCTATCATATCTGGCTTGCAGAGCTCCCCATGGGTCCAGAAATTAGGCAGCTGGGCAGCAGTGGCCATTAATACAGCCACCCTCCCCCCTGCCAAATCCCTAAACCCCATTCCTTGCACAGCTGCTGAAGCCAAGCTATGCACCCTTCCACTGTAGGACCGGGCCACGCCCCCCTCTTTAACCTCTGCTTCTGGATTGAGACCAGGCCCCCTGCACTCTGCAGTGCCAGGTTGGGGTCAGGCCATGCCCTCACCTTGCTCAGGCCTAGCCACACCCTCTTCCTTCTCACTGGGGGTGGGCTATGCCCCCTCTCCCTCATGAGGCTGGGTCGGGGCCTGGCTACGCCTCCTCACACAGCCAGGCCATGTCCCTTTCCTCTGTACAGGGCCAGCCTGTCTGCCACCCCCGCAGCCAGATAGTGCTTGCATTGTATCAAGACCACTGGCTGGATCAGACTGCTGACGGACTGAGCACTGCCAGTGTGGACCACTAGGCGAAAATGTTGGGCACCAATGGACTAGAGCAGAGATGGGCAAAATGGTGGATTGGGCCGGTGGCCAGACTCACAGGAGCCCCTGCCTGCATCACTGTGGCTGGTTTCCATGGAGACCCCAGGAGCAGCAGGGCCATGACAGTGATAGGGTTTCCATGGAAACTAGCCCAAGCAGCGCTGGCAAGGCACATGGCTGGGTTGGGAGCTGCTCTGGGGCCAGAATTTTGCAGTGGTGACAAGGTGGTCTGGAGCCAGGGCAGAACTACCATCTACTGCCTGCACACAGCAGACTGTAGCTCTGCCTTGGCTCTGGCCCATGCTGTCACCACCCCAAGATCCTGGCCCCATCCCTGGAGCACCTCCCTGCCCAGCTGTGTGCCCTGCCAGCGCTGCTTGAGCCAGTCTCTCTAGCCCTGCACTGTCACAGTCCTGCCGCTTCTGGGGTCTTCATGGAAACCAGCTGCAGCAACGCAGTCAGGGGCTGCTGGGAAATGGAATCCACCGCAGGCCCGATCCAGCCCACAGGCCAGACTTTGCCCACCCCTGAACTGGAGTGAGTCAATTAATAGGTATGTTAAGAAATGACTCAAAGTATAAAGAATCATTTAAACAAAATCTATAAAGGGACTTAAAAATCCACTTTAAAAGAAGCAGTATGATCAAACACAACACAGTCCAGGGTTTTAACTTCGTTTGGTAAGTTTAGACTTTTGTTTGAAGTGAGGCTTAAATTCCTTTATGCTTATGTAACAGGAGACAATGTGTTCGCTAGGTGATCTTCATATTTAATCCAGCAACAATCCCACTGAAAGAGTACAAATTGACAGGAAAACTTACCATGAATTCTGCGTATTTCTAATGCAAGCCGCTCTTCAAACAGTGCTTTAGATTTACATAGTCTTTCCACCCTCTCCTTAGCGGCCTTGTTTTTAGAGGACAAAACTAAAATGTATTAAAGAGCTACAGTAAGCAAAAGCAAAGCATTTAAAAATAAATTTTTAGAACAGAAAATTTTCCCAAGAATGAGTTTGTTAGTATTTTTCCTCTGGTAAAAAAAAAAGAAATTTCTAGTTCTTGACAGCTATGCTATTTCTATTCATTTTACTCTGAGCAGTTCAAGCTTTTTGCACTCTAGCCTGTTTGTTTCTGAAAGCTATTTTAACAATAAAAAGTTGCTATAATATACTCAGCTGTTGAAAGCATTGTTGATGTAGTTGCCAATTACAAAAATATACTGCTTATTAAATTGAGAAATTACAGGATTTGTTTTAATTCATTGTTCCCTTAATAATGGAATATTTACATATATAATGCTTCAAACACAATAGCACATTATCCTTGCATCCCAAATAATTAATATCTATACCATGGCAGCACCAAAGTACCAACTCTAAATATGTATGTTCATCTATTGCTCTAAAGCAAAGCCACCCGCAAACACTTAGGTGATTTCACATCCTAAGTGTTTTGGAGACTTATCAGCTCTACAACTTACTTTCCTTTTTTCTAATCAACTCTTCCTTAAGCAATCTGATGCTCTCCATCAAGTCTTTCCTTTGTTCTTCTTCCTGCTTAATTTTGGATTTTGTTTGTGCCAAGTTTTCTTGTTTTTCTGCAATGCATTTGTTCTCTTGAAGGATTTCTGTGAGAAGAGTAAACCCAAATATTTACAATTAATGCTTAGCTAAATAAGTCCCCAGTCTAAGAAACGCTTATGCACATATATACTGTGTGTAGGAGGCAGACTTTCTCCCGAGAACATCAAGTACAAATATAAAATCTGATCTGTTCTGGTTACATGCTTAGATGAAAAGCCACAAAAAAATTCTAAGTGGAGGCATTCTGGTACCTCATGACTATCCACACATTCTAGTTGGCTTATTTTCAGTGACAGAATTGCACAGCTTTAGGCTTCCTGTCATTTTAACACTGTGGCTTCATTAGATGTCTCCACTGACATGATGTACAGATATTAATTGCCAATTAAGTTGCAAATTTTAGTTCCAACATTTGAAGGTGAATAATTAAGCTCAAATGAATGAGTTACTGTATTTACTCAAATCTAAAATTAAGTCCCCCCCCCCCATTTAACATGGGGGGGGGTCCTTAAAATTGAGTGCAAGGGCGGGGGGAGGAAGGGGGGCAGGTGGTCCAGCCCCTGCTT